TCCCTGACCCCCACCATCAGAACAGTGAGGTAAAGAACAGTGAGATGATGATAGATTTCCATCCTTGCATTTTATTTCCTGCGTGTCTTGGGTTGATAGGTGAGAGGCTAGAAAATGAACAGTTTGCTTCTTACTCTTAAGTTCATTGGGCCAAATACAATGTTCAATGACCTTCATATTGTCCCCTTTCTCTCTCTGTTATTTATCGAATTGAAGGTTTTTGAAAAATTAGTATTCTCTCTTAAAAAAAAAAGTTCCTATATGGGGGTATTTAAATGATAGCCCTTTTTGTCCATAGGTGTCCTGTACTAATGTTTCTTAGGAAGCGACAGTGATTTCAAAGGGCAGAATCATTGCCAAATTCCAATGGCTGTGACATTATTTTATATGAATCTCCACTTCCAAAGTTTCTAAAAAATTTTCCACCAAAACCTGGAAGTTTTTTATAGTAGCACTTTGAAAACTCATAATCATCTTGGGAAATCCTCATTTCACAGGTCTCTCTCTCCTGAGTTTTTACCTTTTTTGTCTTTTGCATACCCTTGTCCCATCCATCGAGCATTTATTTTTTTATTTGAAGTTAAGTGAATTGTCTAAATTCAAGAGAACATGGGTTGAATTTCTTATTTCCTCTTCTTGGGTGGCCATTTAGTCACAATTTCTTATAATGACTCACTTGAAGGCTGGTTGGCTTTGGTGAGAGCCTCAGTTTATTTCCATCTAGGAAACTTAGCTGCCACACTGAATTCCGTGAATATTTCCAGGGAACATCACTACATGTCCCCAGCTTAGCAACCTAGTTGAAGGTTTAGAGTATTTGGGAATAAAGATTATGAAAGATCTTGCTTTAATAGCTTTTTCATTTGTTAAATTTTCACACTCATAAGACTTGTTAATGTAATAAATGTGTGGTAGGAGTCCTGATTTTGTGTGAAATAGATTAATTTTCATTACCTTGTGCAAGAGCCCATTGCAAAATTATATTCTTTTTAATGCCTTATTTCCTGTCATATGCTTGGCATTGAGAAAATCGCAGTAAATAATACAGACACAATCATACATGGGGCTTACAGTACAGAGTTGGAAAAAAGATATCAAACATATGGTTACTTAATTGTAGTTATAATACAGTGTATAATTAAGTCCAGTAAGTGCAATGAAGGCCACATTCAACAGATAGGAGGCTGGAGTAAATGAGCAGAAAATTGATAAAGAGCAAAGCTCTCCTGAGGAAGTCACTTTTAAGCTGAGAACTGAAGGATTAATTGGAGGTTCCAGACAGACAAGGAATTAAGAACATTCTAGGGGAGAGGACAGCAGGTGCAAAGGCCTCATGGTGAGAAGGAGTTTTGGGGGAACCATTAAAGAAGCCGACACAGCTGGGGTGAAGTGAGTGCATGGGGAGTAGGTCACATTATTCAGGACTTTGTAGAAAATGTAGGGGTTGAAGCTTGACTGGATTTATGTTTTTTTATAACTTTTATGTTTTTAGTGTTCTCTGTTATTTTTAATGATCTTTGAGCAGTAATGTCCAGTTATTACCAGTTTTTTAAAAAAATTTTCACCTGTGAACCTCATTTTGAGAGATACCTACCAGTGAAAGGAAAAGTTTCCTCATTTCCCCATTGGGTAGCAGGCAGAGACATAAATATGAATCAACACTTTCAGTAATTATGAGAAGACTAGGATTTCTATTTGGAGGTGGTATAATTCCATCAAATTCAAACTGGACTCTCTGAAATTGAAATTTTCAACTGAAAATTGAAGATGTATGTGGACCTCAAAGATAGTCTGGATGTTATATTAACAACCACTATTTAGAAGTTCTGTAGAGAGAAACTCCTAAGTTACTGCCCATCTTACTGAGAGGCAGAACCAGCTGGTTACCCAGAGGTCCAGACTCAGTAGCTCAGATCTTTAATCTATATGCTAATAAATGCTACCGGCATTTCCATTCTAAAACGTAAACTTAAAAACATAGCATTTACCACTGGACTGGAAAACTAAAATAAATTTTATAAGTTGAGTGATCTAAATTTCTAGTTTTGAAGCTTTTCATCATTGGCCAGTTTTTAGGAAAAGCTCAACATTTCTAGAATTATTCCGGGCAATGATTTTTTAAGTTATTTTAGTTTTAGGACAGGGAGCTCAGCAGACATACCTGCATTTGCATTGAAAGCTTCAAGTCTTGCCCAGTTGGCGTGGCTCAGTGGTTGAGCATCAACCTATGATTGGGGTACGTGCACTGCTTGTGGGCTCTATCCCTAGTAGGGGGGCGCAGGAAGCAGCTGATCAATGAATCTCATCGTTGATGTTTCAGCTCTCTCTCTCCCCCTCCCTTTCTCTCTCTGAAATCAATAAAAATATATTTAAAAAGAAAGAATTTCAAGGCAGCTCCTATTAGGTGCTGTAAATTGGGTGGTGTATGTGTGCACAGTTGAAAAGTAGTAGTGTGATGTTTCTTTTGTGGAACATGAAATCATAACTTAAAAGGTAATTTTAAATCTCTTTACTTTAGATTTCACCAATCCAGAATTGTGTAGTAGTCAGTCTAGAGTTTGCCTTTATTTTTGTGAGGAGAAATCATAAATGCTTTACAATTTTGTGTGAAATAAATGATCCAGTGTAGATATTACTGTACTTCCTAATTGGAACTCATAAACACTTGTTCACTCAAGCCCACTGACCCACAAGGACAGTGTGCTTAAGACTTGTGAACAGCTGGGCCCGGGAAATGTTTCCATTTGACAGTGTTATTGTTGCTATATGTTAGATTATTTTTAGAGTTAACACCCATAGTGTAGCAGTTTTCTGATTGCCACATTCTTTAACCACATTTTTTGCAAATATTTTTCATTTTCTTCCATCTTATATCAGATTATATCAACTTGTAAATGAAACA